TTTGCTGAACCATCGTTGACACTTACGAACGTTCAGAACATTTTCATAAACTTCTCTGATATTATTTGGGGCTACAGAGGCGTTGTTTCCCTTCTTGTGTTCAAACAGCATTACATGCCGAATGTATATCTCGTCCTATGCCATCACTATAAAGAATCAAAGTATACTAAACTTTACACATTATATAGGCTACACTAACGTGACGTTTGGGTGGTTCATTTAACTATTACACGTGATGTACGTTTTTTCGGGGGTAGTTATGAGAGTGTTCCAAAACGCGACATTAATTTCTTGACGACCTAATATATTCATTTTTAAATATTTATGTAGGAAACATATTAGCAAAACGTTTACTGATGTCACAACACAAATCTAACATTTAATATTAATTTATTTTTAACGCTATAAAGTAATACTGAACACTTTGACGATTTTTCCCCTGATTTTCAGAGCAAAACATCAGTTATTTCTATTTGACATCCGCCGATTTCTTTGTTTTGTTGAATTTCGCACAAGCTACTTGAGGGTAATCTGCTATAACCGTCCCTGATTTTCAAGTGATTGACTAGATGGAAGGCAGCTAGTCAACACTACCTATCGACAACGCTTGGACTATTCCTTACCAAAGGATACTGATTTTGACTGTCACATTATAGCGCCCCCAATGCAAAAAGTGTTAGTATGTTCAGCACCCGGTTTCGATCTTGCGATCCGCAGGTTGTGACAAGAGCCCTAACCATCAAGACATGTCAGGCCGCCATCCGTAGTATCTTTCTAACCATCGTGGGAATTCCTGGGAAAAAAAACAACGAAGCGGTGCAAAAATTATTTAGTTTGTTTTCTGAAGCCAAGCCAAATTGGGATATCTGCTGCGTACACTGCGGGGAATCGAACCCCGGATTTTAGCGTTCTAAGTCTGTAAACTTAGCGTTGTACAACCGAAGGACATTATTTAAAGACATGTATGGCTGTAAATAATTTGGCTCACAAATCGTCACGCTGTTTTTACTCGTTGAAATAAAATTCTGGAGAAATAAAGTACTATGCCATTTTCACGATTCAAGTTTCATTATGAATAATATACGTATAAACAATTCTTTATTACACATTTGAATGATTTGAATAAAAAAAATTTAATATGAAGCGAGAATTTTTCTTATAGCAAAGCCACATCGGGCTACCTGCTGTGTCCACCGAAGGCAATCGAACCCCTGATTTTAGTGTTGTAAATTCGTAGACTTACCACTGTCGTTTAGTAGAACTTTTAGGTATCTTAACACAGATAATCTGCATTATGACTGCTGTTTAGACTCAGCAGTTATTAACAAAATTAGTGTGTTAAAAATCACACTATATTAATAGTGTGAGAGTTTTAGAAATTATTATTTTTGCACCTAGTCTATTTAGGACAGATTATCATAAACAAATTTAAGCAAGATATTTACTTTTTTTAAATGTTTACGATGTATTTAAAGAACATCATTTACTTGATACTATATGGCAAGAAATTTTTAACAGCCCAACTGCCTCAGCGTATTCCAAGTAAAATATTTAGCAAAATTCAAGAACTTGTTTCAGAATATTGCGAGGGTGTGTATTTCTTTTCTTTTTTTTTTTCAGTTGCAACGTTTCTGCTATCACCACAATAAAGGTTCCGCCAACTTTATAAACTGTCCAATCGATGTCAACATGAAACGCTCCGCCAAGTACAAAATGTCATTATTTAGTTACTACAGAAAAGAGTCTGCTATAAAAGTAAAGATTAGATAGTTTGGCGGCTAACATCATAGCTGAGATGAACAGGTGTGATCCTATGTTGTGGATGTGGCGCAAGACATTGAATAACTACTTGCACCTACATAAAATAGGTGTACAGATGTATTTATCACAAAATAATGAATAACAAATACATATCTTTTGTTTTCGCGTTCATCAAACTACGATTTGATTAATGCTATAAGAGGTAGCCCTCTTGTTATTTGTATAACAAATGTTTTCAAATGCTACAAAATAATAATCAAAATGCAAATTATGTCGAGATGATTACGTACATTACAAAACGAAGCACCCTTAAGAAAGTATTAGGATATCTTTCTACCGATTTCTAATAATCATCACAGCTAAAATCGATTAACGAAATTATTCTATTATATTCTACAATCACATTCGGATCATCGAAAGTTTTTTTTTATGTTAAGTATTTTGTTATTGAGGAAAAGGCAAATTGTAACACATTTTAGGAAAATTTGGTTTCGAAGTTTTACGACTGCAATTATTAAGGAATATCTTAGAACATTAGGTCAAAACATTTAAATATACTTCTTAGCAAATAAATTATAAGAGTCATTATGCCTGTTTGATGACCTATTTTGTTTTAATTTATCACGGCTTAGTGCTAAAACCTAAATATCTACAACAGAATGCACAAAATAACAACCATTTGTTATGAAATTAAAATCCTTCAAATATGCATAAATAGCTCTCTAATGACACTATCAAATACTTTGAGAGCCCTTCTAAGCTACAACTTTGCCTTTTTACCTTAAATTGTTGATTTGAATATCGTAGCATCTGTACCACGTGAAATCTGTGGATTAGAAGTACACTTCAATTCATACTCAAATATCAGGTTTATAAACCTCGTAGTCATCTCTAGGTAAATCGTAGATGGGGGTATAATGTTTCTCTAAACCACACGTAAAATGTTCACTAGTGTTCAGAAACTTTGCATAATCATCACTACAATCAAAAGCTCGCTGCCTGTTGGCTTGGCAATGCACAGTCTTCCCTGGTTTAACAAGACATTTCCATTCTTGACTCTGGCCGCTGTTATCTTCAGGGTAAAGAACAAATGGAGAAATGTGGGCTTGGTGAATGTCTTGGCAATTCGAATCTATGATGAGGTCGTTTGTCGAATGTGCCTTATACGTAAACATTGAGAGATTATTCATCGTTGAATCTGATTTTCTAGTTGAATAACAGACAGAGTTATTGGTTAGTAAGGTATGTTCTGGGAATGACAAGTCCATTAATAGATTTTCTGATAGGGTCTGGTCTTCCAGAGGATGGAAATACTTTTCATTTACCACACTCGTGTTACTTGTGTTCCAAAGGTTATTACTTAACTTACGATTTTCAAATATTTCGAAGAATAATTCTTCTGAAGAGTGATCAGAATTATGAGCTACACTTTTAGTTTCCTGACGATCCTGAATATGACTGGTTGGGGAAGGTAAAATTTGAGAATAGGATGCTAAATCTGTAGCTCTTGAATTAAGCGAAACACATTGGTTTTTGTTACTTTCAGACCATATGGTGGTTACATCTTGTAGTTGTGAAAAGTTGTGGTCTGACGACTTTTCACCGGAGGCGTGGTTGAAGTGAAAAACATCCTTTCTTTCTGTCTTTGTAACATCTTGATTTGACATGATTTCTTTCCAACTCGGAGAGGATAATAAATCTTCCATAGGAATGTTAAGTTCATAAATATCAGGGTTTCCGTTATCTACGGAAACTGGTTCTATGTCTTTTTTGGTTAACGAATTCGTCTCCAAGTCATCGTAATTCAAATCAGCTAAAGGAATTTGATCGAAGTCACAGATGGTAATATTATTTGTATTTTCATAATTGTTTTCTTTATGAAAAAGGTAGGGATAGAAGCTCTCAAATTCACATTTCTGGATAGAAGGTGAATTTTTGCTTGCTTCATAGCTTTGGCAAGATAATGAAGATATTGATAAAGGAGTATTAGAAGAAAAATATTTTGATGGTTCGTTAAAAAACGAATTTGGAAACTTTCTCATCCTCATTGGAATTTTGCTAAGTTTGTTCTGTTCACAGCCTTCAGAGGGAACTATATGGTTTTTACCACATCTTTTTTGTAGAATTCGAATACCAAACATGGCTTCTAAAGTTATTTTTTCAAGCTTTTCGTTAACTATCAAAGATCGGTTCTCTGTTTTTAAACTTGACTGGCTTTCACAAATTTTGGGTACTGACAAACACCTTTCTCTTTGAAGCAGTTTAGAAAAACCATTTTCACCGGCTATTTTGCGATGTTTGTTAACTTGTCTATGGAGGTACTTTCTGTGATTTACTTTACGATTTGCTCGTGGTCGTTTTATCATAGCTTGCTTTAAAGTAATGGAAGCGGAATCCAAAAATTTTAGCAAGTTCTTGGTAGTTTTGTCCATTACAGCTCTATTGTAATGATTGTCCGGAACCATGTCGATTCGTATAAAAGCATATAAAAATATGCTTGACTTCTAGTTTAATTCAAGAAGACGACAATATTTTAAATACAAGAGACAAGATATGAACATCAAATGATTTAACACAGCTACAACTTAAGTTGATCGTACTTAATTCCTCATGGAGGTATAGAAATCAACACTTATTGCGGTTTTATGAAGCTAAGAATCCGAGTCCTTGCACGTAAGTCACTCATTTCAGTATAACATACCTGGTAGCAATACGGAAATGTTTGTTCACGTATATGTTTCCTTTAAATGAAGTGAAGGAATACGTACTACTGCATGACGGGTCCAAAGAATACCTTGGTTAAAGAGTCTTACACAGTCGAAAGTATGATCAAATGTTTATCTTAACACTACATTATTCACTATATACTATGTAAGGGCACAAAATTATAGACCACTTACGTTCATCTACTAAGCTGCATAGAGGGCGTGAATAGGTTAAGGAGGGTTAGGATATGATCTGCTGATTAGTATTACACGTCACCGGCACACTGAATTGTCATTACGCTACACACGTGGCATTTCTATACGACACAGGAAGTAGAGGGTGATATCATCATTTTAATTTATAGTTGTTTTGGTTTTCAACAATAGATGCAGAATAGGAGCGTGACATCGCATAGGAGCTGAATAAAATCAAAGAAAACAACAAAGACAGAGTTACTGAATTACCTTTACAAAAATATTAACTCAGCACAACGCAAACACAACGGTTCAAAGCTGAAGATAGATCTGGTGAAGGACACCGGGAAGACGAAATAAACTACTTTTGAAGCATAAAGAAACTTTCGACTGAACGATTTCTCCAGCGGTAAGAATCCCCATAGGCCTGATTAATAACTCTGTTGTTTGCTTACAACATCACAGATAGAGAGCGCTAATCTCTCTGTCAACAAACCTTTTACATTGTAATACTTCAGGGACGATAACGACTTGTGAGCGCTCGTAAACAAGAGACATGCAGCTATCTTTTAATAACGAGGGCTCAAACGAATGTAGGTTTTTGAAAAATCGATACCATTGTTCCAGAGCCTCGAAAAGCATAGTTGCAAGATGAAGAACAAAAAATGTCTTATATTTTTATTCTTTTAACCTAAGTTCAAGGTATACCTTTGAATCAATAATATAAAATGGAATTAAATAGAGGAAATGACCAATCTTACCTGACAAGGATTTCACAATCTTCGAACCGTGTTAAATTTCTACGAGGCAAATTCTACTTACTTATGTTAAGCCAAGAAAAATATTTCCTATCCAGTTAGCTAGTGTTTTGGGTCTTTGAATTTACAATCATAAATTTATTATTTCTTTGATTTTCACCTTAATGTTTATTGTTACGATATTAATACAAATACAACATTTGGCAATTTTTATTTCCCTTATATGTTGTACATATTATATTGATATATCACCTTCTCATTTATATTTATCTACATTTTTATATAATATAGTAAAGCGATGTGATTAATATATCTCAATTTAATTTTCTGTGTGTTTACGTTATATTTGTTTCATATCTCTGCTAACATGCTTTATTTATATGATATTCTAAAAATATTCATCTAATCTTTGAGTTTTGTAACTAAATAAAGCAAAGTTTATGAGAGGAAAACGAATCCATAATATACGAACCTTTACATTATAGCTTTATAGCTGTTTTTTTAAATCAATATATTCTCTAGAATTTGGACTGAAAATAACATTTGAAATATTTATCTAATTTATTGGCATGTAAAATTGGCATATTACAACAAGAATTGAAACTCATTTTATCATACCATTACATTCTAAGATAGACGGTTTAATTGCATGGATTTTAAGCAAGTTATTTTATGATTTATTTGACTACATTTTATATTATTAACCGTATGTATATATATATATATATATTACGTGGAAGATTAATGTATAATTGTTTGATCTTATGATTATACAAGTTGTCCATAACTTATGCATCGGTTAGGAAAACAATGATGGCTCGAGCATTTTGTGTAATGGGTGTCCCAACTTTGACCTGTTGGTAAAAAATGCAATTCTTACGTTTCATAAAACAGTTCCTAAAAGTCGTCATGATCTTCAAGCTAGGTCTATACCCTTTATAACTTCAAGTTCTCGGTAGACTTGCAGTAACTCATGGTTCTCTATTTCTTATTCACAGCCTGCGTTATATTTGGAGCTTTGGAAGGTAGGCCTTGTTCACTTGAAGAAAAGATTTCAGTGTGCCTTACTATCCAGAAACTATATGTTGATGCATATGTAAGACAATCTGTCAAGTTGCTACAAGTAAAACTTGGGTTACATATTGTCTATTAAACTTTATTAGCTGGTCAATCCACGGCTCTTTGATAAACTTAAATGATATCGGTTGTGAGCATAATTTCTGTAAACACCATAATCTGAATCTTATTTCCAGGAACAGAGATAATCAGCAGCATTCTTATGATTAAAAGTCTTCCTTTGTACTTGCATTTACTCTGTTTCAACTTCTATTGTCAAAGATATAGGTAACAAATAGCAACCGCTCTCCAAACAACAAAACATCTGTTTATATGCATTCATAAACCGTTACTCAAGAAGAAAGATACAGAAGATTGAATACGTTATTCAAAATCTATTTATACTATGCAAGTCAGCAAGTGACGTGAAAACCACGGTCGATTTAAACTTGCAGTAGAACGGGTGTATCAGAACTACATTTTTTACATTGTTTGGAGTTTCTTAGATTTTGTGATGTCACCGAGAATCGATTGCATTTGGGAAAGGTATGAACCAGCACTTTCCGACTCAAAATGTTCAAACTCTAAGATCATAAAGATGTGTTCAAAGTGAGGACTAGGAAATTCCAAGACGGGGATATCTTTTGTACTTGATGAACACTGAACCTGTTTGGAAGCTTCTCTTCATCCTGTCATGCTCTATCTTACGATCTTGCATCTGTAGCGTAATTTTTATGGCAAAACGGCTCCGTAGGAAGGTTATTATATCCAAAGTAAACCCTTCATCCCTACATGCGTTTCATAAGCCATCTAATGTGCGAGGATGACAGTTTCCCAGCGTCCTTTTCGTCAGTCAAATCGCAAAGAGATCGGGTACTTGACCGATATGTCTTCGTATTGAATAGCATGAACACTCGTTTAAGTTTCCAGTTACCTTAGTTATGCGACGCTTGACAAATGTATCGAGAAGCAACTTGTATACAAGTGACTTGTGTCGCTTTGTCAGAAGGAGACCCATCTTTATTTTATTATGTGCTTTTTGCCTGGGGCCCTTGGAAGGATATTGCCAATGACTTTTGTGTTCATGGATTCTCTCCTGCTACAAGTGTCCGCATTTTGGTTACTACGGCTTGATTAAAGCTTGTTGCATTTCTTTATCTGGATGGTCTTGGGTTTATACTTATACCATTGTTTTCCAGATCCATTAAGTACAAGAGATATATCCGTCATCAAATAATTCTAAATCGCCGATCTAAACATGTATTCGTGATCTAAGTATATGCATATTTTGCGTCCAAAAAGATTGTTGCATACAATTCCCAAGGCGATAAATTTTCGGTGGCATCACAATACCTACGAAACGACAAACAATGTCAGAATGTAGTTCTGATACATTCCATTCCACTGCGACTTTTTATCTGCTGGGGTTGTCACGTGGCTTATTGATTTCCATATCCAAAATCGTTTCAATATAACGTATTCGTGAATATTTTGCGTCCAAAAAGATTGTTGCATACACTTCCCAAAGCGATAAATTTTCGGTGGCATCACAATACCTACGAAACGACAAACAATGTCAAAATGTAGTTCTGATACATTCTGTTCCACTGCGACTTTATATCCGCTCGGGTTGTCACGTGGCTTACTGAATTGCATATTCAAAATCGTTTCAATATAACATACTCAACCTTCTGTGCGCATATTCAGTAACTACGTTACAGGAACTGTTGTTAGCATACAAAATGTTTTTGATTTTCAGGATATTATACAGTTTTATTAACACATTCTTTTTTGTGAGTGTTACGTAGGTGTGATAAGATTATCACTTTTATATTGTTTGAACAACATTTCGTGATTCACATAGTTAAGGTTATCAAAAATTACTGAGCAAACAATACTAAATACACTGTGACGTTTACACGACCACGATGAATTTACACTGATTTACTTTAGCATCCGCAATATTAGAAATGCAGTGCTAATTGTAAAGTGGGCCATAAGTGGTTAAACATTGTGTTTATTGGAGTTTCTAAATAAAACACAATCATCATTATCTTAAAATTAGTTTTAAAATATATATTTTAGTTGCTTGGCATACATTGTTTAAAGAATTATTTTCCTTGTCGTATGGAGATTTTTTCATACATAATTGAAGGAGGCACACTATGATAATTAGCCAGGCATAACAACTCTCAGGACAAAGATTCATGTGTCCAATACCACAAAAGTACTTATATATATATATATATATATCAAAACTTGTATAAATTATGTATGGGTAAGCAATCAGATCGGACACCCTTTAGGGTGGAGGTATGGCCGTCTTTAATTTTGAATTACTCAACAGAGGGCAAGTACTCAGAATCAGACGCCATAAGTGCTTTATCCGACTTAAGCCGAATACTAGCAATGACTGTCGCAGTTTTAATGCCCTACTGCTGAAAGTACTGTGCAAGTTCAGCGTCATCGCTGTCTGAAACTTGGCCTCCTGATAGATCAGCTGCTAGACTACACATGGCTAGATTTATAATAATAAATAGTAACTTTTATGAAATCCCCATAAAATCTTCAAAATGTTGTTTGGTTTGTTTTTGAATTTCGCGCAAAGCTACACGAGGGCTATCTGTGCTAGCCGACCCTAATTTAGTAGTGTAAGACTAGAGGGAAGCCAGCTAGTCATCACCACCCACCGCCAACTCTTGGGCTACTCTTTTACCAACGAATAGTAGGATTGACCGTCACATTATAACGCCCCCACAGCTGAAAAGGCAAGCATGTTTAGTGTGACGGGGATTCGAACCCGTGGCCCTCAGATTATGAGTCGATCTGCCTAACCAACTGGCCATGCGGGCCACTATATACAGAGAAATTTTTATTTATTTAATTTTTGGTAATAGATAATCTGAGAAAATGATATAAGCCTTGACTTCTTTTTTTTGGTCTTGATGCACGGGATTTATGCCTTGTAATTTTGTCTAAATATTTTATAAAGCAACACCAGTTAAATTCAACGCAATACTTGCCGTTGAATTAGAAGGAGTCATTATGTTTATTTTTCATTTTTGATATTCTATACGCCTTCACGTATGTATTTGGGTAGTCATATATTTAGTTTCGTAGATTTTATATCAAACACAAGTTGCGAAACATTGTTTCAAAGCTTATTATACATTTTCATTAAAATTTTTCATAAAATATGTAGGTTATTGTTCAAATGTTTAGTAATTATGTAACATATATTGTGAAGACAGCATTCATTATATATGTTTTTTTTTGTTTTGCAATTAAGCACAGAGGTACACAATGGGCTATCTGTGCTCTGCCCACCACGGTTAACTAAGTTTGTAAGTCCTCAAACATAGCGCTGTGCCACTGGTGGACCATTATGTATGAAACAATTGCAAAATATACTTTTAAAAAATAGAACACGAAAAACACGAAACTTGCAAAATGAACAAGCTCTTAAACTGTTTTAAGATTACCTGATAATAAATTTTAA